CAGACGAGGGCGTGGCAGCAACCGCCGCTATCACGCCGCCCGCAAATTCGCTAGACGCCACCAACCGGTATTAACTTCTCTGAATCAGAAGGAGAAGATAAAATTAACCGGGCAACCATGTCCACGGCCTGCAAACCCAGTGCGAGCGCACTGGGACCCTGGTTTGCTTAAGCGTGGCGTTGCATACGCACACAATTCCTAAATCTCACTACATCATCTCACGCTACCCCACTCACTTGACTCCAATGGCAAGACCATATCAAGACTACAGAAGTTGAACGAGAACCGAAGGGCTGACTGTTGGTAATGTCCACATTTCCAAGAAGAGTCAATGAAAAGCATGTGCGCGCGCGCGCATTCCAGTTACGTAGTTATGGTATGCAGCTATTAGTTGCAGCCACAGTGTTCCTTTAGAAAATGATTACTTCATGTCTGCGTGAAGTTGCTCGACTCTCCTTTAACGTTCTTTTTTAATTGGAAGGCACAGAAAATTAGCCACTCTAAGGATCCACAGGTTTCGAAAACTTTTTTTTCATCACCGATCGTGTTTCTTATCTCGGTTTTGTTGGTGGTCAGAGACGACCATCGAGCACACATATGGCTGGTGTTATTACGGAATACCAGATCGGGTCATAACCGAACTAAATAGTCTATCTACGCGAGCTATACGGGATCGGATTGTACTACTCGTATCACGCTTCTGTAAGGGCGACTTAGACCTTATATCAGTGGGTGTCATAGAGGCCATACCGAGGCTCTCAGTCCCCCAATAACGCCGAAATATAGTCAGTGACCGACCTTGCGAAATTTTAATCATCATTCCGAAATGCGTTTTGGATTACTTCAATGGAGTTCAGCTCAATTCATTTTACTTAAAAGGGAACAAAGCCTGACGTCCTAAAACTCTCCGATAGTAAGAAAACTGTCGAATAAAAAATCAATACACAAACAACACTGAATATGAAATTATTTACACAACTGCACGCAGCAAGCAATTAGTTCTCCGAAAGGCATAAAATGCGCATCAATTTGTACTTAATTACCGCAAGTAGTAGTATCAAGCACGAGTCGATATGCATTTCAAGCTTCGCAGAGAGCTACTTGTTTGTTGCATGCAATTATGTAAACAATTTTCTTTCTAACTCTGACTGTCTATCGTTGTTTTTCCTCTGACAGTTTTATAACCAACAGGAAGTTCAAGTGCGTCACCACCAGCATAACGCATCACCTGTGGTGAATGCTTCCGGAGGCACTGAACAGACACCCGATTCTCATCTGCGGCTCATAGAAGCTAAGTTCGGCTTAACAACCACACTCTGGTAACAATCTGGACTAGTGGGCTAATCGTTTCCCCAGCTCTGATGAGGTGAAACAATTCTAAAAGGGCCTGCACTAACTCCTGACGATTGGTCGAAAGCGGACAAACTGCTTCTTCTTGGCAACTTCAACGTCCACTTCAGGGCAGACCATGCTGTATAGGAGGCAGTGTTGCGTCCTCGTGTCATGGAAACCGTCCCTGGACCTTCCATCTTTGGTCTCCGTCGC